TTTTCTACGAATTTGTCAAAAAATGTTTTCCATCGCATTTTGCCGTTAAAGACAGACATCGTTTGTACCGGCAGCGTCAAAGTTGAGTTCGAATGTCTTAAGTAAATCATTGCGGTCACTCGTTATGACTGAATGTGATGCTTGAAAGTGTTAGACTAATAAAGTTAGCGCCCTTCCTTGATAGTGTTGAGACGACGCCGGACAATACTGCTGAAAGACGATGTTGTAGCTATCACATGCACTAAATTGTGTTCGTAAAGAAAACCTAGATTAGTATGGTGACTCCACTGTCTCGATTTAGCGTTTAGTAGAAGAGTCAATACGCGGTGTTTGGATTCACTAAGATTTACAGACACGACTACGGCATAATAGCTGCAAAGGCATTTGGCATCAGTACAACGGAACATACCGAGTAATCACGCTAAATTTGCTGTGCAAATAGCATATTTTTCCTTGATGGCGAGCTTCGACTTGCTATATAAAAAACCAGTGAGGCCTATTATACCAAAAAAGCACAGCGCATACAGAACTGTTTTAAATCAATTTTTCTAATTCATCCCCTACGTGCTTTGCCAACTGCATTCATAGCTTCGAGAACTCTACTTTGCCTCGAGACTGAAGAGCTTCAAAAAAATTGCACTTATACCACAGAATCTGGCTTGACCTCCACACTTTAACTTCTATTGCACTGAAAACGCATGTGGAACTAGCTCTCGCGGTAAACCTGTGTGACTAAGTAGGCAATGACATCTTGTGCATAACGGTCGATATCGCTATCACCATCGAAGCTGTGCTGCAGTTCTTCACGGCATTGTGCGAGCGGCAAGCTGAAAAGAGGGATTACCTTGTCTGCTAGCTCTTGAAAATATCGGCACACTTGCTTCTCGCCCCTGATGAAAAACAGAGCTTGAATGCGGTTCGAGAACGGCGCGTACTGCTTTGAGGCCAGAATTTCGTTGTCCTCTTCAATAGTTGTACCGTACATACTGAGCTGGTGAGTCATTAAGTTGCGAAGGTACCGAAGTGCGCGAATTTCATTTTCAAATGAGATGGGCGGAGAAGAGTGCGCAGGGCTTTTCATCTTCATTATAGTAAACTCTTCCTCAGTTGCAACGATAAGACGGGCAAAGCTAAAGCCCTCACGTGTGTTTGTATCTGAGTGTGAACAACTTAGACGAGCGTCCATTGTGTAAATACCACTTTCGTGCAAGTAGGCTCGCTTGTCATAGAAGAGCTGTCCATCATTTGGTGAAAGTTGAAAATCAATCAGCACCTCGTTAGGATTTCGACCATCCTCTTCTGTATTATCCTCAACTGCAAACCCATAATTTAGCAAAAAGCGATGGTTGCATTTCTTGCCATATGAGTCGTAAACCTGTGCGCCAGCACCGATCGTTCCAAGGGACGTGATGGTGAATGCATCAATACTCTGGTCAAAAGTCCAGCTCGTCTCACGTGGACGATAGTGATTGAGCATGTCAGCAAATGGTACGAGTGCTGCTGTCTTCACTCCATCGATGGTCAGTCCAAAATTCCGACTACAGACAATCATACGCGCCCAGCTAAAGCGATCAAGCGAAAAACGTGCAAAGGATGGGTCCACCTACATCAACCAATTGAAAAGCCACAAAAGTTAGCAACAATGATACTGTCTTGTCAATTCAAAAATCTATTCGCACCCTGCAAATAACGTCATAATCTTTTCGAATGGCGGCCTTGCGTTCCTGAATTTGTTGAATTATATATGAGCCTTTAAGCCAGTTAAGCTCGTCATCAGACCAAAAGATAGGCATATTACTCAGAGTAGAAGGCAACGTGCTGTAGTAATTCTGAAAAAAAGATGTCTCGACGTTCTCCATATCCGTAAGCAAAAACATCATGAGATAAATGTGTTTCGGTGCAACAAAGTCCACATTGTGAGCCAGCAGCTTACGTCCAATGTCCGTCAGCTTACCCATTTCAACCGTGATAAGACATTTTTTCGGTATAACAAGGATTCGTTCTCCTGGCACCAGCACCTTGCGACTGTGCACACCGCGTACTTCGGGCGCGTATTCTTGTAAGGCCAATTTCTTGCTATCTGCCCCATTTTCTTCCAACCACTGAATCAGCTCTTCTCCAACTGAGAATTCTTTATTTATTTCATTACGCGGTGGCAAAGCAGAATTTCGTTGTGTGCCATCGTCTGCATCAGGCGAAGGAGCACTCATAACCAAGCGAATTGTGGTGAGACGCAAATTAAAAGTGAGGTTGTTGCACGAAGGTGCACTACTGAGAACTGCATAATTGTGAGCTGTACATTTTCCGGACATTATCAGAACTTTTCTTTGTTGTTACTTTATTAAATTCGCTTGTTGGTCAATCGACAAATCAGGCTTTTTTTCAGGCGATAATGGGCACGTGATCTTTTTAAAAGCGGTCATGCGTCCTAGTCCGTGCGTACTATTGTAATGCTTGGCTTCCTCAAGGCTGAGTTACTCCTTTTCGACCTTTGCGGGGTAATATTACGCATGACTACCAATGCAGATTTTTAATTAGAACCAATAAAAATAGCTTAATGACTGTCAGCTGCATGGCATAACATCAATTTACTTTGTAAAATTCTTGTTTACAGCGAATCCTAGATATTTGGAAAATGGTGGCGCCGCAAGGCTGTTGTGAGATCTGCCAGATCTCCGAGGTGCTTGCAGACCCGCAGCTTCAAAACCGATCTGTTCGTATAACAGGACAATTGATGGCCTACGATGCACAACAAAAAGTTGCTCGAGTTACATTTCAAGACGCTTTAATGATCGTCGAGACGCAGCAATTAGCTTTCGAAAATTTGCGCTTGCAACTTGGCTCTATGTACCAGTTTTTGGGCGAGACCTACGTACGCAACCAGGTAATTGCAATTTATAAATGTATCACTACTATTGTCTTGACAGTACTTGAGTAGGGCGAGGAGATGGAAGTTCGACTTGTGGCTCGAGTGGCGCGCAACGTGGATAATTTAGACATTGACCTATTTCTCGAGACACTTGCAATGCGTAGGCAATTCCTGGCATCTCGGGCTGGTGAATAGCAGTCAATTTTTACTGAATGGAGATGATTAAAATCTCACTATCATCCTAAAGCAGACTATCATCTGAATCGTTTTCTTCGCCTGAAATGTCCTCGTCAAAATTATCATAAATAGAGCGACTGAGAGAATTCGTAGGCACTTGATCCGTGGTCTCTTTTAACTTTGTCGCAAAACCTCTTTCCATTTCACCATCAGTGATGGATGATGCCACTAGCACTTCCGCATCATTCGCCTTCGCTATCTGAGCGGCATCAATAAGTTCGGGTGGATCAAATTTGTGAAGTGCTTGACGCCATTTGCGTACAATTTTATCAAACACTTTCTTGCCAATGCTCATGGTCTTGTCGGGCGTCATGGGGTGTTCACCCGGCCGCCGCTGGTGCCGTGGCACTTTGGCACAATAACGATCGTAGCCAACGGTGTTTTTTCCATAGTCAATTTGCTTCTGACGCTGTGCCAAACGATGCGCATCTGTCTCTTTGTTATCCGCCAACGTCTTCACAACAGGACCATTCGCGACGATTTTGCCAGTGCCATTCTTTTTTGCACTGTTATTACGATAACCCTCTTGATCCCCGTGTTCTCTTAATGTGTATCTCGAGCGCTTTCTTTTGGTGTTGTACAAGCGGCCGCCTGACGATGCAGAGTCTCGAGTGTCCATTATCTCTACGCTACGCTTCATTTTGGGTTCGACCTGATTGGCGAGTATTGATTCTGTAAGGTTTTGCGAAATATGGCGAAACGGAAACCGATACATTTGGGCTTTTTTTACACGTTGACACTATATTACTGAGTCAATATTGGTGACTCGACACAAGTAACACTGAAAAATCTAATCAATCGCAGTCTGGAGGCTGGAGGAACTTTGCACCGATAAACGGATGGATTAGTTCGATTTAATAAACATGTCTGATGTTCGAACACAGAGCGTGTTTTTAGCTTTACTCTGTTTCAATAGCTCTAGTACCACATCTTCGAATTTTTTCTACATTCGATTTGCGTCGTACACGTCGAGTAAGATTTGTTCTCTTAAATACTTGCTGTTGAGAAACGAAGTGCCATAGCAATAAGAGCGACAAGAAGTCAAACATGAAGGAATTATTCGTAATCGTCCTCTTTTGACCATTTAGTGCAGCTTCCTGTGCTTTTAAAGCCAGATCCTTTTTCTTCAACGCGACTTGATCCTTCCTTAGCGCCGCCCTTTGCGTCATCATAATCGTCACTGTGATCGTAAGACTTTTTAGCTTGCGCTCTATCTTCAGGGATGTACTTGTATTCAGCCTTGTTGTGCATTATCAATTCATCTCCTACAAAGTAAAAACTGTCGGAGACTGTTGCATACGGCTGTGCCACCATGTCACTGATGACCTTTTCGTCCAGCGGAGGCAAGGCGTAAATTGTCTCCCATGTGTTTAAACTGGATGGAATGCAAAAGCCAAAGTTGAAGTCGAAACTCTTGACAATTTCATCACGAAAGTAGTGGCGCTCAATCATGCGCAAATTATGCACTTCGTGCGATCCTACAGAAAACTCAAGCTCCGTGGCAATGGCTGGAAGTCGCAACACGTCCTCAGAAAATTCGTAGCGGATAGTGCGGTAGGCACTCTCTCCGCGCGCATGACCAAGTTCCATCTTGAGGGTAGCCTTGCCTGGCCGATCTTTGCCAATCTCAAAGATTTTGCGCTTGGACTCAAAGTCCGAGATGGAGAAGTGCAAAAATTCTATTCCGTACTTGTTTGCGCTTAATGGACACAGGAAGGCTATCAAACCAGAAAAATGAAGAGATGTAAAAAGTTTGAATGATTGGCTACGGCACTTTTGTTTTCATGTGATGGCTACGCACATTCCGTAGGTGCTTGAAGCTCAAGAACGTCTTTTGGTGTGTATCTATGACAGGGCATGCTTTCTTATGCAGAGAAGTCAGAGTTGTTGACGGTTGTGGCTTTTCGATCTCGACTATCTTTTTGCAGGAATTGTGTTCGCCACTTCGATATAGAAGATAAAATAACCGGTTTTATGTACGGGATATAAATTCCACTTACTAATAAAATTAGGATGACAAGGTATTGGTGTACAAAATTCAGTAGTATTAAATTAGCACAATTGGTGGAACAGATACTATAGTTAGAAGGTAGAAGAAATCAATTAAATATGTCTTTTTCTCCTAGTATACAGGACTATTGTTCACCAACGAAAAGCTTTATCCTCTGAAAAGATGCTCTCATCTTCTTATTCAAGTCGTGATCATCGATGGTTAAGAAGTTCACATGAAGGACACGGTGCTGCCGCTGACAATATTTCACTCGTCTTTAACAACGCACTCTAGATATGATGGTCTCCCTTTTCTTCTTCGGATCATTGTAAAGAGCGCGGTGGTGATCCTGAAACTATTCCGCTCGTCATACTCGACAATACTATGCGAAAATTACTACTCACGCCGGAGATGGGATACTTCATGTAAGTGCCGACTTCAACAATGCACACGTGACAAAATTGAATTTGAAGGAAGCAACGACAAATAAAGCTTCGGCAACGTCAAGTATTGGAGTGAAAGACAGTAATGGGCGAAGTTGAAGTGGTACATACTGCAACATGCTCGAGAAATCTGTCGACATGTTTTGTCTTTTTTATATAATTGAACGCTCCGAACGAAAACGCATTTGAGATCAGAAACCTTTAAAACGGCAATGTGCGTTGCTGACGTTTACGAAGACACTGTGTACAAGATAAAACAAAAATTAGCTTTTCATTCTAGCGCATTACATTTCACCGTCTATGGCCGTAAAACTACTCGAACTGTGGTACTATCGGTAAGTGTTATCAATCAAAATACTCCAACGTCAGACTTCGGTACTAGCACCGGCATCAAGAACTACCGGCACCAATACCACCGTGCAAGCATCTACGACGTCACATTGTTCCCTTCGTAAGAGCTTTTGACACATATTACGCCATATCGGATACAGGAACGAGGTCATTGTCTCGTGCAATCCCCAATTCCGGGTTTAACTCAGTGTTGGCTTCTCGTTTTACAACTCTTACCAATTAGAATTAACGATTCCGTTGGTTTTATCTAGGTCGAACCTCGCGCATGCTAATCATCACATTGTACAAGGTACCATCGGTAGCAAAAGAATCACAAATCTGTCATTTTTGCACCGACACAAGTACTACAGGCGCATTTATGATGGTATATTGGGGTCTAGATGTGCTTAGACTTCCAGCACAATAATCCTCGCGCTAGGAGAATCATTTTGCATCTGCATCGACTTTCCGAGGTCATATACTGTGTTTAAGTGCTAGTTTGGCCTTAGATCCGGCATCTTCATTTCTTTGCAATCTTCATGCTCAACCTGTACGACATAAAAGAAAATTCTTTGTGTAATTGTTGTGTTTGGTTAACTGCATATTTCTAGCAGAAATTCACAAGCACAAAATTTAAAAACGCTCCGAAGTGGATTGCGTGCACGCGCTGGTGAGTAGTGTTTGCTTACGATATAAGGACACCATCTGCATCGGGGCTGCCGTAGCTTTGCGCTTAGAGAAAGCGTAAGTTAGGTCACCGACCTTTCGTTCAACACTTAGAGCAAGTACGAGTTTAGCGAATCGCAATCCGCTTACTCCAAAGTAATTATTGCCTGAATCCAAGGCTAATTAACTCTTCGGTTTAAATTCAAAAATGACTTTATTTATTTTTATCTGCATCAAAGCCGCCTAATTTCAAATGTATAGATTTTAATTGATATATATAGTAAAATCTAAATACATGCACAACTACTGGCTACCCAGCCACATACCGTATTCTTGTTTGGGTGCAGTAACACCATGCCCATCTCGTGTGACACACACACCTGTTACCAGGGTATGTGTAACCCCGTTACACTCTTCCCCATTAAGATTGAGAGCATTTACAGTTCCAATCGATTATTTCCTCAATGAGGCTTGCGTGTCCGTTAGACACTGCGCTGGAACGAAACGCCTTCCGTGCACAATGAGCCCTGTGTCAATGACACCGAAGTCTCCAAGTCTCGCTGGTTTTGACAGCGCTCAGGGGCAGCGCCCAGTTTCATCTCCTGCACACGTTGCCGTGTCGGACCGTGTCTCCGCGGCATCGAGGGATGTAAAATCAAGGCTCGATGATCCCGAGCGTCGCGCTCCGCGCACGCTTACGGTGACAAGTGACGTCGTTGGGGATGTGGAGTTGGTTGACTACGAGTCTGACACTACTTTTGCCAAATGGAATGACGGGGAAGGCGAGTCGCACCAGCGGCATGTGACGAGCCCTGCTCGCGCTTTGCGGATCCCACGTCCGTTTCCAGACTTCTCGTCACATGAAGAACGTGGTGTAATCACCAATGTTCCGATGAGGCACAGAGGCGGCAGCTGGAAGCTGCCGGTAAGGCGGCTCTGATGCGCGGATATCAACAGCGGTCGTTGACTGTCGTGTGGAATATGGATTCCGCCCGGCGGATCCCGCTGTGGAAGCGAAGGACGTGG